AAGGCCCCAGGGTCAAAATGGGACGAGCTTCCCGAGTGTGGTTGAGAATGACCAAGCTATGATCCTATATATAAGATGTTATTGTTTATATTGACAATTTGATGCAATTGCCTTCTGACATCAAACAGGCAGAGAATTGGCGTGTTATCCTTATTTGTAATCCTTATTTAAATGAAAAATGTTTTGGATGTGGAATACTCATCCAATGGAATGGAATATATGAAAATAACAATAGCAACAACTACAATAATCATAATGATAATGATTATTATATTCATAGAAAAATATGTTTAGAATAAACATGCATGTAGAAACCCCCACAATCTTACTGGCATGTACCTTTGCAAAAATTATCAATAGGCAACTTTTAGTCCTGATATTCATATTTATTTTGTGTTCTTAAACTAGCATTAAACAGATTAAATACTTAATAAATAAAGCATCTCTAACATAAAGAGAACAAAAATGAAGCATACCCTTGCATGATGCTAGATGCCCTTGTAGAATTCATTTCCCCTGAAAAGTTAATGGAACACGAATTATGTAACAATTGGAAAAAAAGAAAATGAGTAAACCTGCTGTCTTTGACAATGTTTTTGGTAAATTTATAAAAAAATGACATCATAATGTCTGTTTTCAGCTACACAAAAACTTGCCTCCTATTAATGTCAGAAAGGTTTCCAAGAACACATAGTAAAGGTAAATTTCTTGTGCCTTTGTTTAGATTCCATATATATCTTATTTTATGTCACTTTGACCTTTGATTGTACTTCAGATTATTTAGATACTTTTTGCATTTAAGAAATGCTTTCTTTCAGTTCAATTCAATTTTATTTGTACAGCACCAATGGCTTTGCAAATTATACCAGAGCTCACTGTCTCATTAATGGCTTATTTACATCATGGACCTCTGCTCTCTAAAACTGGCCTAGATGTTACACTGTCTGTGAAGCTGGATATCAGAAGTAAGTGCTAAAAGTTTACTTTTTAAGGAATATGTGTAGCGCCATTGTCTTTCAGTATGGTGTCTTGTGGTGGTTGTGCCTAACAAACTTCCATTACATTATGTTAGATCTAGAACCTAGACACAGAAGAGACAAGTCAGAGGAAAATAAGGACGCTAAAACTAAAAATGAGTCTAAGGAGATCATATTTGGGATGCAACAATGAGTTTTATGTTAAAAAACCGAGGATGCACTGTCCTCTTCCTCACTAAAAAAGGCATCAATAAGTAAACCAGTTACACATAAACTAGTACTGGACACATAAAAACACATACGACGAAATACTCTAATTCAATACACTAAAGGACAATACACAAAGCTAAAAGAGCTCTCTAATATAAGGAGAACAACATGATAGCCTACCCTTTTTGGATCTCATTGTAGAAATGATTTCACCTGAAAACAATCCTGACAGCAGGAAAAATACAAATGAGTAAACCTGCTCCGCTTGGAGAGATTCCTGCCAAGTTCATAAAATCACATGTAAACTACCTGAAACAAGAGGCGGAACTATCAACATATATCTATCGCTACTACTCTCTATTTTCAGGTTGGGCTTGTCCCTTGTCATTCGCCAGCTCTGTTTGAGCTGTTAGAGTTTTTTAAACACCAGACAACCTTCCTGATGCAACCCCAAAGAGAATCTGTGTTGCAAAACAGAAAAAAAAAATATAGAAAGAAATAAGAGTTGAAAAACATGGACACCTAACAGCTCCCCTAAACAAAGCCAAAACATCTCTATCGCCTGCTGCTCTCTGGCTGCCGGTAACGTGCAATACTGATTTCTATTCCGATCTGATAGCAAGTAAAATTCAGGATGGCATTGATGATACAGTATACTATAGTGTATACCTTTTGTTATGAATAAAAGACATCAGACTTCTTGTTCTGATTAATTAGAAAGAATTATTATACAAGAAATAAAAAAAACTATGAAAAGTAAGTACCTACATTTTCAAATCAATCATTCAATTAACAATAAAAAATGAGTGTGACTGATTGAAAATCATAAAACAACTGAGAAACATTTTATTAATACAGGTTATATTGATCTATCTTATGTATGAAATATTATAAGTTGTAGCTTACAGCTACTGCATATATTTTAATGATACCGAACCTACGTAATGCTCTTTAAATGCTCTACGCTACATCTTTACCTGACTAAATCTAGTCCAACTGAATCCATGTGATGGCAGGGACACACATATGACCCCCAAGCTAAACTAATACAGCTATGTACTGTAGCATGTATTTATTTACTAATTTCATAACCATATTTGTGAATGTAAATTTGAACAAATGGGATTCTGTAATATTTATCATACGAGGAAGTCCCTGTTGTTTAAATGTCAACAGAACGTCAACACTTTCCAAATTCAGCTACACGTGTGCTTCCAGCTCCACGTTTTCTCCCGCTGCACCTGGAAGCACACGAGAGCTGTGACGCATTTATACAGCTGTATTTTACATATCACCGTGACAGGTTTGTCAAGTAGCTTCTGTCAATCGTTCCGATGAACCCGATAATATAACTACTTTTCACTGTTTTTCCGTTAATGTTAAAGTATAAATGTACCCTAAATTATTAAAATGTGAATATTTTAAAATGAGAATCAATTCTAGAGAATAAATATCTGGTATTGGAGGAATCAATATTCCAGTATTTATCTGCACACCATTATCCCACAGACTGAAAGTTGATGTATCCTTTGACCTACAGACTAGAGCGAGGATATTGGTGTGGAGTTGTGGAAGCAGTGGGGAGTGTAGCTGCTTCGTGTGAGCTTGTGGGCCTCAGCTGCAGTAAAGCTAGCTGCTGGTAGTGACAGGATGGGCCTGTGGGCCCCTGGAAGTGCCCCCTCGTGGTTGTGGTTGTGTTCTTTGTTGTTGCGACCTTTTTTCTTTTTCTAGTGTTATTGGAAGAACGGCCTTGCCGGCTCTTCTAGTTAAGATTATCTATAATAAAAAACTATTTTATTTACTAAACACCTCTGTCTGTTTTCCTTTCCTTCTGTTTTGGACCCATTTGTTACCAGTCCCCACACACACCCCTAGACCTTCATCGTGGGGAACACATGTAAATGCATTTTATCCAGCTCCTTCCAATTTAACAAAATGAACAAGACTACCTGAATAGCAGCAACCTCAACATGGTCTTTATCTTTAGACACATCCTCCTCTTCTGTGACCTAAGCCTCCATGGCTGTTTACATCTGCTGCTCATTTTGTAAAACTCTATATCAGGGGTCTCGAACTCCAGGCCTCGAGGGCTGCTGTCCTGCAGGTTTTAGATGTGTCCTTGATCCAACACAGCAGATTTAAATGGCTAAGTTACCTCCTCAACATGTCTTGAAGTTCTCCAGAGGCCTGTTAATGAACTAATCATTTGATTCAGGTGTGTTGACCCAGGGTGAGATCTAAAACCTGCAGGACACCGGCCCTC